CTTCCCTGCCACGTTTCAGGGCCCCAGCGAGCCCATTCCGCCCCCACCTCCCCCTGCCACGTTTCACGCCACTGGCTACCTTCTTTCAGATGTTTTCAAGGGGCTCCAGCGCATGCCCGCCCCCACCGCCCCCACCGCCCCCACCGCCCCACCACACACCGCCCACCGCCCCCCCTTCCCCGCCACGTTTAAGGGGCTTCAGCGCATGCCCGCCCCCCACCGCCCCCCCCCCGCCACGTTTGAGGGCCTTCCCCTGGGCTCAGCGAGCCCATTCCCCAGCCCCCACCTCCCCCTGCCACGTTTCAGGGCCACTGCCTACCTTCTTTGACATGTTTTAAGGGGCTCCACCCCCCCTGCCAGGTTTCGGGGCCTGGCTACCTTCTTTCAGATGTTTTTGGGGCTGCGCATGCCCGCCCCCCACCCCGCCCCCACCCCCCACCGCCCACACCGCCCACCGCCCTCCCCCCCGCCACGTTTGAGGGCCTTCCCCTGCCACGTTTCAGGGCCCCAGCAAGTCCATTCCAGCCCCCACCTCCCCCTGCCACGTTTCAGGGCCACTGGCTACCTTCTTTGAGATGTTTAAGGGGCTCCAGCGCATGCCCGCCCCCACCGCCCCCACCGCCCCCACCGCCCCCACCGCCCACACCGCCCACCGCCCTCCCCCCCGCCACGTTTGAGGGCCTTCCCACGTTTCAGGGCCCCAGCGAGCCCATTCCGCCCCCACCTCCCCCTGCCACGTTTCAGGGCCACTGGCTACCTTCTTTAAGATGTTTTTAAGGGGCTCCAGCGCATGCCCGCCCCCACCGCCCCCACCGCCCCCACCGCCCCCACCGCCCCACCGCCCCACCGCCCACACCGCCCACCGACCACCCTTCCCCGCCACGTTTGAGGGCCTTCCCCTGCCACGTTTCAGGGCCCCAGCGAGCCCATTCCGCCCCCACCTCTACCAGTTCTTTCAGATGTTTTTGAGGGCCTTCCCCTGCCACGTTTCAGGGCCCCAGCGAGCCCATTCCGCCCCCACCTCCCCCTGCCACGTTTCAGGGCCTTCCGCCCCCACCTCCCCCTGCCACGTTTCAGGGCCACTGGCTACCTTCTTTGAGATGTTTTAAGGGGCTCCAGCGCATGCCCGCCCCCACCGCCCCCACCGCCCACACCGCCCACCGACCACCCTTCCCCGCCACGTTTGAGGGCTTTTTCTGCTACGTTTCAGGGCCCCAGCGAGCCCATTCCGCCCCCACCTCCCCCTGCCACGTCCACACCGCCCACCGCCCACCGCCCCCCCTTCCCCGCCACGTTTGAGGGCCTTCCCCTGCCACGTTTCAGGGCCCCAGCGAGCCCATTTGGGAACGGGGATCTCCTCGGATATTGTCAATGCTTGCACAAGCACGAACCCCACGAAACTCAGCACGATAACAATTTACGACAAGGATCCTCGCGTTCCTGCACCGCCACCGCCTCCGTCGCAGCCGGCAACGTCGGGACGGGTGGCGACTCATCCGCCTTCACAATTACAGTAGTTCAACTGGTCTTGAGTGATATCCGAGATGTGCCACATCAGACGCAGGTCCAAGATTCAGCCTCCATGGGCGGAGACACCTCCGCTGACGCCACCTCCGTCGGAACCCAGGTCTCCGACTCCACCGGCGATTGCGGGCGATGGCGTTGCGGCGTTGCGGCAAGGGCGCCTTGCAAACACAGAGACTTCTGTCAGATGCACTTGAATTTCAAACCCCTCCAACAATACTCAGGCGAATACTCAGGCGGCGTCCTCTTGCAGTCCAGATTCTTGGATCGGCACTGGCACCGTTTCCGCCGGTTCAGGTACCACAGCGATGGGCGTTGGGGAAGCTAGTCCTGCTGTGATCGGGGCCTGAAATATCAAACTTGAGAGCGAGTCAGCTGTACTGATGTATGCTGGCTTCCGGACGCTCTGAATCTGCCGTCAGGTCTCGATGGAAGGCGGCTCCGTGGCCGGCGTAGACACTGAGCTGGGGGTCTCAGCGCTCAAAACTAAGAAGGGGTCGAATCAGAGTGCGGTGAATCTGTCACTGTTGTGGAACGAACGCCGACAGAGTGCCTCATCCCTCTCCATAGGAGCCTCCATCTTGCCCGGCTGCTCCGGGGTGTCGTAACCAGCCTGAATCAGCAAAAGTCGCAATGGCTTACATAGACTGCAGCAGACGTGTTGGTCATAGGAATGGGAATCCATGCCAAGATACCCCAAGCACCGGCGACTGGCACGGCTCCACGGCGCACCGAACGAAAAACGCTCACTCTTATTCGAGCTGCAGTGCGGGGTTTTTTAGGGCTGAGGGTTTCAGGATTCAGGTGTCTCGTTTGCGAGGTCAAGCAAGTTCAAAGTCTAGGGCGGGTAAACGTTGGGGTCACCCTCGTAGTTCCACCTACGAGCTTTGAAACATCAACAGCTAGAATATACATTCTTGGAGTTGGAATTACAGCGGCTGCTGACACCAGGCTTGCCCTCCAATACACAACCTGCGTGTCCTGCTGCTTTGAGCGGCTGCGATGTCGGCACACAGTCACCATGTCGAACAAATCGGGCATGTGGGCGCATGAAAGACCAGCCAGACAATCGTGAACCCAAAACTCCTCGATAGATGCGCGACGCTGCGTGCGCCGGATGTCGCCTGGTGGCAGGATGAGAGGCGAGCAACACCTATACACTCACCCCCCTCCGCCCACTAGGACATCGTTCGTCTGAATACTCCACCCTTGGGGTTTAGGCTTTACCGTGCAGCCCGAAACTGAGCCCCAAGACGCCTAAACACTCAACCCTAAACCCTAAACCCTAAGCACTCAGACTTTAACCCCAAACCCTAAACCCTAAACCCTAAGCCCTAAACCCTTAAAGGATCTTAAAGGTTTAGAGGAGTTAGTTATATGGAGTAGGGGTGGGCCGTACGCCGAGCGCGCGGAGTCTCCGAGCTCGACTCCCCCTTAGAAGGATGGGCGGGCTTGTCGGTATGTTGCTAGGGTTTGCAAACTGAGTTGACGGAGTTTGTAGTGTGTCTAAAACAGCAGAAGCGCGGGGGAGCACACTTCTGGGACATTTCCGGTCTGAGAGACTCCACAACTGTACTCTGCCCCGTTTTGGCGGGGCGGGGGAGGGGGGGAAGTGCAATTTTTCAAGCCTGAAATGCACTGAAACTGTTCTCGCCTGGCTCTCGGGAGAACGAGGGAGGGCACAAGCGCGGGCGAGTACAATTCTGCGACTTTTCGGGCCTGACAAGCTGTTAAGCTGTGCTCCCCCGCGTGTTGGGAGGGGAGGGCGCGGCACAAGTGCGGGGGAAAGTTTAGGGTTTTAGGGTTTCGGGTTTGGAGTTTAGGGTACAGAGTCTAGGGTTTATGGTTTAGGGTTCAGAGTTTAGAATTTAGAGTTTAGGGTCTAGGGTTCAGGGTTTAGGCTTTAGGCTTTAGGGTTTAAGGTTTAGGGTTTAAGGTTTAGGGTTTAGAGTGGGGTTTAGGGTTTAGGCCTTAGGGTTTAGAGTGGGTTTGGAGTTTAGGGTTATGGGTGCAACTTCAAGTACCCTGTCGCCGGAAGCTCCCTGCCTAGCTCCCTGCCTCCAGGCTGCGTGCGTGTCGTGGCATGCCAAACAATAAGCAAAGACAAACTTTGCCGGCCTGGGGGCCAGACAGAGGTCCGGAGACCCCGCCGACCAAGTCCCGCAAAGCACAAGCAAAGTCTGCCAGCCTCGGGGCCAGGCAGAAGTCCGAAGACTTCGCCGACCCCAAGTCCGGCAAAACACAAAGGCTTGCCAGCCTCGGGGCCAGGCAGAAGTACGAAGACTTCGCCGACCCCAAGTCCGGCAAAACCCAATGACTTGCCAGCCTCAGGGCCAGGCAGAAGTCCGAGGACTTCGCCGACCCCAAGTCCTGCAAAACTCTCACAGGGCTTGCCAGCCTCGGGGCCAGGCAGAAGTCCGAGGACTTCGCCGACCCCAAGTCCGGCAAACACAGA